TTTCCAGATGCAAATATAGTCATGTTTCATTGCAGCCATTAGTCACATTTCAAAGAGAAGGTATACTTATCCCTAAAATACGAAGGCTGACAAGAGATTGGTCAATGAATGTGTTCTAGAGAGACAGTTATATATGGAGTATGGAAACCTGAAACCATAGAATGAGCAATAAAATCCATGGAATAGTAATGAAATCAGTGGTATGAGTTTATATGGTGCTTACATTCTTGAGGTATTCCCATATTATCTCTGGTTTCAAGGTTCTAGACCACAGGCATACTATAGGGAAAAGAAACAAATGGAGACTATGAAAGACACCCTGGCTAGAGAGAAAGAGCTACCTGTTTATGGTGATACTGAAGGTAGATGAAATCTACATTCAGAAACTAAGCAAAACAGAGCTGACCTTCTGTCTGACAGCACTCCGGACTGCTGCTCTCACCTGCTTCCTGCCATTAGATTACTGACTTAAGCCTCTCCATTCTGTGCAGTGTTCTATGTTCTGAGTTCCTTTGTTACAAAGTCTAATCAAAGAATAAGATTCATCAGTTAGGAATATATATGTGTATAATACTTACATTCATTATTATGACATAGAGTATAAATAATACATATTACTGATTATATGTAATATATAGCATATAACATATACAATATTACTATTATATATACTATATACGTAGTTTGTGGTATCTAATATGAAATAACATAGAACTAGAGTCCCAAATATTAATACTTGTTTTACAACAATTTTTTATGATGCTCACATTCAAATCTTTAAAGTGTCTATATTTTCCCACATATGTCCAAGATGGTTGATTTTTGCTATGCTCTGCAATGTAGGTAAGTGCCTGGAGCATTATCTGCATGCAATGCAGGTATGATCAAATAGAATTGTAGATACCTCTATTCAGCACAACACATCTTCTAAGAAATAAATTACTGTCCTTTGAAGTTGCAATTGGATTGTTAGACCTAAGGAAATGGATGGCTTTTCACTCTTGTCACTGGATATACCATCCATAATCAGATTCCCCATTGCTTTCTCAAAACATCTTTCATGCTTCTTTTTTTAACCTAAGTCAAATTGTAGCTTACAAACAGCTTTCTGTCATGTTTCTCTTCAATATACAATAACCCCCAATTCCTTTCCTCATGTTTTCTAGGAAGGATTTATCAAGTAGTCTACATTGATTACATTTTGGGCTTTGAGTGAAGGACAAAACTGAGCAAAAGGTCAAAGCCCTGAGCTCAAGCATTGGTACTGGAAAAAAATAATAATCTTTACTTATTATTGCTAGTTCATATTTAGGTGTCATGTTAATTTACGTTTTCCAGCTTCTTTTAATATTTCTTTTGTGCATTAATATAGGATCCCATATAACTTGAATGTTCTTATCTTGTCCCTCCACAGGTAGAATGCCATCCTTACCTGAATCAAAGCAAACTACTGGATTTCTGCAAATCAAAAGACATTGTTCTGGTTGCCTATGGTGCTCTGGGAACTCAAAGATATAAATATGGGTAATAAGAAAAATAGGGTTTGGTAGTCATACCTGTAATCCTAGCTGTTCAGGAGGCTGACATTTGAGGATGGCAGTTTGAAGCCAGTCTGGGCAGAAAAGTCTCTGACAGTCATATCTCTAAATACCCACCAAAAAGCTAGAAGTGGTGCAATGGCCCAAATGCTAGAGCACTGGGTTTAAGGGGGGGGGGGGGGGAAGCTCAGGGACAGTGCCCAGGCCCTGAGTTCAAGCCCCAGGACTGGCACAAAAGAAGAAAAATAAAAGGAATCATACCTAAGGAACAACAATTGAGCAAAGGTATTTAGTTCCACAACACCAGATTTTTCTGGAGCTCACTCTCAACTGGCTCAGGGTGCGGAGAGGAGATCCCAGGCCATAATGGTGTTGTGAGTCCGGGGGCCACACTGGAGAATGTCTGGTCTAAACCTCAGCCCTTCTGTCTCTCCTTCCAGGGTGGATGAGAGCGCCCCAGTTCTCTTGGATGATCCAGTTCTTGGAGCCATGGCAAAAAAGCACAAGCGAACTCCAGCCCTGGTCGCCCTTCGTTACCAGCTACAGCGAGGGATTGTGGCCCTGGTCAAGAGTTTCAATGAGGAGCGAATCAAAGAGAACATGCAGGTGATGCTCAGGGGCTCTGGGTACCATCTTTCTTGCCACATCCTTCCTACTTTTACTCTCAAGAGACATCGGTAGTCCATCTGCACTCACCCGGCGTTTTACTATGCGTATCCACCTCATGCCTGTTTAGAAACGTCTTCTCTTCCTTTACAGTAGCGCTACCAGGGACAATTGGGATTGGGCTGGGAACAAGGAATTTAGCTTCAGCTTTACAACAGTGATGTGTTCTGACCCCTGTACAAGTGTTAATCATTATTTTTAGTAAATATTCTTTTCAAATTTATTTTTTGAGTTAGTGTATATTTGTAATATATGGGTTTTCATTGGAATATTTTTGTATAGGTGCAGAATGCACACTGGTTAAGTTCCCCTTTTTTCTTCTCCTTCACCTTTTTCAAGCACCATTTGGTGTGTTTCACTAGCCTGTTATATATAAATGCACATATGTGTGTATATATAATATATATACCTATACATGTGTATATACATATATGTGTGTGTATATATTCCATAATTGTCCCCACCCGCAGGACTTCAACGAGGGCAATGAACCTAAGTGAGAAGGAATGAAGGGACAAGAGACACGAAGAATGACAGCAAGACAAGGATTCTGATCAAGCTGCCAATTTTTATTTTTCACACAGGGGTATTTATATACTTAGAATAAGGAAGCTTTTTCATTGGCCGTAGCAGCTGTAGGATGTTTGCCTAGGGCAGTGAAAAGGTGGTCGTTAGCAGCTGCCGGGTGTTTGTATGGGGCAGGATGAAAAGACCGGATTCTGTGAACAGCCTCCTGATGTTCCAGTGAGATAGTCAAGCCTATCATGCAGAGAGACTCCCTATAGGGCTCCCAACACATAATGAGTGAGAAGATCTAATATTTGCCTTTTTTAAACTTGGTTCAACCAGTTTAACATAAATTCATTTTTCCTTATGGACATATCCCATAGTATGTATGTATGTATGTATAAACATACACACCATATACAATATATGTATATACCATAGTTTCTTTATCCATTCATCAGCTATTCACTTATTGAGCAGCTCAGTTGATTCTAGTTTGGCGGTTATGAACACAACTGCACGAAAACATGGCTATGTACATATCTTTCTGATTTACTCTTTTTTATATATGGCCAAGAGCAGTGTGGTGGGGTCAGATAGTACCAAAAACAGCATGTTACTGGCATACACACACAAAAAAAAAACAGACACCAGTGGAAAAAATAAAAGGTCTAGAAATATGCAGTCAAAAGGAACCAGAAACAAACACGGAAGAAAAGACAACTTGTTTAACAGCTGGTACCAGGAGTACAGGATAATACCCATGTCAAAGATTAGACTCTCTCACCCTGTACAAATATCAGCTCCAAGTAGGTCAAAGATGTTAATGTAAGATCTGAAACTATGAAATTACTATAGGAAACTATGAAAGACTTAAGCATAGGTGGTCATTGCTTTTCTTTTCTTTGCCCAAAATGAGGACTCAAACTTGATACCTGACACTGTCACTCATTGGCTAGTACTCTACCACGCCTCCAACCCCTTTAGCGGGTTGGTTATTCTTTTCCTTTCTTTTCTTTTTAGCTGATTATTTCCAATTGCTCAGGAAATGTGAACAAAGGTTGATCAATTGGACTGTATTAAAAACAGAATGGGAGAAAATATTCACCGTCTATCTGTTCAAAATACAGAGGGCTAAAAAAAGTCAAGCAGCAAGTGGAAAAATATCATATTTATGATAATTAAACTGGTCAAATTGACACTAGGACTTCAGCCAATTCCTTGCCTGAGTCCTTTGAACAGAACATCATTAATATGTGGAAAGTTCTTGTTTTAAATTGTTAAAAATAATACTACTTTTCACATACTAACCGCTTGCTGCTGTTAGAAATCCAAGTTTATCCATGAAAAATATTTAATTATCTTTCAAAAATATGGCTCTGGGTTTCTCTGGATCTTCTAAATACACAAGGAAGTACTTTTAAAATCAGGTCAGCTTTGTTTGGTCTCCAGCTTCTTCCATTTCATCTGCAGTTTTACACATTTTCAACACATAGGAATTTGGGTTTTTTGTGATTGTTATCTTTAAGTAGTTGTGCAAAAAAGGGTTTCCATTCACCATGTCAGGAATTTGTTTCTATTTATTTATTTTTACCTGGTATTTATTGCTTACTTGGGAGACTTCTCAGACACTTAAATATTATCACTGCATCAGTCAGATTGGTTGCAAATTTCCAGACAAAGAAATATGCGCCCAAAATACAAATTTTAAACAAAAACACTTTTCTATTTATTTGGCAGGTTTTTGAATTCCAGTTACCTTCAGAAGATATGAAAGTCATAGATGGCCTGAACAGAAATTTTCGGTATTTTTCTGCTCGTATGTAAGTAACTTTGGCAAATATATTTTTATCAACTTAATTTCTGATGGGGTTGAGATAGTTTAAAGTTACCTCAGTATGAGTCAGACTGAGGCCAGTGTAAGTCAAGGATGACACAAAGCTTTCTGGAACTCTTCCCAAACAATTGAATATATAATCACTTTTATCACTTTATAGTGTGGTCATTACTGTATATAGATCTTATACGGTAAGCTCCTTGACCATGAGATTTTGCCATTTACATAACATACTTTCTATTTTTAGTCTAATATAGCATGTTCCATGCAGTAAGCTGTCAATAAATAATGAATGAATAAATAAATAAGATTTAGATGGCATTGTTAATAGTTACCTATAATTACCCAAGGCTATTTACTAGTGCTAAGATATCACTGGAATTGTCCTTTCTGAACAAGACAAATCAGTTTGTGCTTTCATCACTGGGAATTTGTAATAAAAAAGGAATCTCTTTGGTATTGTTTTGTTTTGCTTTATTTTGACATATGCACATGTTTGAAGAGGTGAGTGGATTCTCTGTGTGTTCAGTCTGAAAGACAGAAATTGGTTTAAACAATTTACCACTTTAATGTTACAAAATCATGTTTATAAAAGTACAAAATGTCCACTTAATGACTTACCAGAAAACAAACATTTTAGCTTTCACCCTAAGGGCGGGCTTCACAGAAATCGCTTCTAGAAACAAGAGTTATGAAATCCCTTCTAAACACAGAGTTATGAAATCCCATATGCATTCTTCTTTCTCATTGCAGGTTTGAAGGCCACCCTAATTTTCCATTTTCTGATGAATACTGACATGGACCTCTTCATCACTTCTGCAGAGCACTTGCCTGGATGGACATGATGCTGGAACGTCTCAGAGGCTGATGACTGGACACATGGCTTCCAATCCACACTGCTTAGCAACTCAGTCCCAGCTTCAAATGGGTCCCTAAGTCAGGAAGCAAAGCACTAAATGATTGTCACCCATTGAAATGAAATTAAAAGAAGATATTTTCCCTCAATTTTGCTGACTTCCAGTCTTGCATGAGTTGAGAGTTTTCTGTTTGCTTCTCATCTATCTCTTCTTCTAAACTCCTTTGTCTAGAAGTCTGCAGAAAGTGGAGGGAGATGACCAAAGTTATTTCATAGACATTTCTGTGGTAAGAATGGCAAAGCCCTTAAGCTTTAGAGAAGTAGGAGATAACAGGGGTTTCATTAGTATTTCCATAGCCCTGGTCCAGGCACAAGACAACACACTGCATGTGGTTTGGAAGGTGAAACTCATGTGAAGAATACCAGTATTCCCAGGTGGGTCTTGTAGCAGCTCAAGGATCACAGCTGCAGAGACTGAGTAATGAGATCTCACAGCTGCAGAGACTGAGTAATGAGCTGGGGAATAGCATATTTCCTGCTTGGGAAGTACTGGTAAGGATACTTGGTATAGTACATTTTGCAGAGACTATGAATTTCTGCCTCAGACCCAGTGCTCTGTGTCAGGTCAGGACCATCAAAGCATGCCAACTGATTGCAGCAATCTTGGCAGACAATGAATCCTTTCCTTAGTCTACAATTTATTGGTTTTATTTCTAATGTTTTCTCCGACATTTTTTTCTCAGTTTATTAAAATTCATCTTAGTTTTTTCTATGCAAGAAGTCATCTTACATAATTCAAGGTACCTAAATAAACCCCAAGAACTGAAGCAGTAAAAAATAATAAAACCCATGTATCAACTCTCCTTGAGCATCTAAAAATATGTTTATCAAATATCAAACACTCTTAAGTTTAAAAATACTGATTTTATATATATGTATATATAAAAAATCATTTTAAATGGTTCAAGTGCAAAAGAAAACTTCCATATAGAAAACACAAAATATTTTAAGCCATTGAATATTTCCTGGAAAACAAGATTATAGTATTGAAAGTAGTTAGTACTTTTGATTATTTTAAACATGCAAATATCCTTTTGAAACATATACACACAAAAACATCACACAGCTTTCCAAATGTAGTAATTGTTAGACACTTTCTAAATCACATTTACTCTCTATAGTTTTTAGAGGTACAAATGTAAGCATTTAATCTCAGTATCAGTAGGATTTTGTTCTGTACCTCTGAGCTCTTGCTTCCAACCTATAAAAGTATCTCTATACTATTTGAAGAAAATAAAAACAAGTTTCAATCTCCACAGAGTTCGTTCAGGCCTTGGTAACTCACTGAATAAACTGCATGGAACTATAGTTGACTTATGTAGGAACCATTTCTCATTCATTCTGAAGGTAAATAATTTGTGTGATAAAAGCTATTTCCTTGGTGTTTTATCATTATCACCATTTAACAGGATGGCTCAATTAATATTTTTCTTAGAAAGATGTAGATGTAAGGTATTGGTGAATACTAAGTAATAATTCATGAGGTTCCTTGTAATTGAGAAAAAAATTATATTTGTTATTTTAAGTAGTTGTATAAGAGATTTACAATTTAATATAGTATGTCCACTATGTATCCTACTAAAGAGGCACCCTTTCCATCATTTACTTAACTAAGAAATAGAGTTGATAAGCAGGGTACCGGTGGCTCACATCTGTCATCCTAGCTACTCAGGAGGCTGAGATCTGAAGATTGTGGTTCAAAGCCAGCCCTGGCAGGAAAGTCTGTGAGACGCTTATCTCCAATAAACCACCAGAAAACTGGAAGTGGCATTGTAGCTCAAGTGGTAAAACACTTGCCTTGAGCTGAAGAGCTGAGGGGCAGAATTCAAGACCAGAGTTCAAGACCCATGACCAACAAAGCAAAAGAAAGAAAAAGAAAGAAGGAAAGAATAGCAGGAAATTTTTATTGAAAAATATTAAATGTGAGGTATCATACAAAAAACAAAGTGTTATGGAATTGATAATCTGATATTCCAGCCTAAAAGGGGAAATGTTGTGCTACTGTTACTGATTTGGGTTTTTGTGGTATATGGATGATATCCATCAGAACAACAACAACAAAAGTCTAAAACTAAAAGGAGAATGAGGAAGCACAGAAATTGCCCTAGAGGGGCTGGGAAGGTGGCTCAGTGGTAGAGCACTTGCCTTGCATGCTCGAGGCCCTGGGTTCGATTCCTCAGCACCACATAAGCAAAAAGAAAAAAGCCGGAGGTGGCGCTATGGCTCAAGTGGTAGAGCACTAGCCTTGAGCTGAAGAGCTGAGGGACAGCGCCCAGGCCCAGAGTTCAGACCCTACGACCGGACTCAAAAAAAAAAAAAAAAAAAAGAAATTGCCCTAGAGGTTCATCCAATTCTTGCCCCCTCTAGTTTAAGGAATGAATTAGAATGAATTATTTCAGGAAAGACTGACTTGCACAATTTGGGTGATTATGTCTTATTGAAGAGCAGAAAGCCTCTTTGGTGTTCTAAAGGTAGCCAAAAAAAGCAGCACAGTTGAAAGTTTTACAGTCCAAAGGTGCACTCAGATCTTGAACAAGTGTCAGTTTAAAAGATCTTTGACCAGGAGTCATGACATAGTTTCAAACACGGGAGAAAGCTATCTAAAATGAAAAGTTTGGTTCTTCAGGATTAGCTGACAAACTGTATGCACCTAGAACTATCCAAAATAGTTGTATATCTTTGCAAAAGATACTGCTAAAGGCTAACAAATTTCTTTATCGGATGGTACTCTTCTCCATATCTTCGATAACTTGCAGAATTTGTATTATTTACTATTTGTTCAACTACATTGAAAGGGTTTGGATGTTTTGTGATATATTTGCAAGTACCTGCTTTCTAGTTAAAATATTTATAAGGATCATGCATAACAAATGTAAATTTGTTTTAAAACAAGAAAAGTTGCCACGCCTACTCCGGTGGAGTCTGCTTAGCATGGGAAACCTGCTTTCAGATCTGAGAATGGGGCTTCAAAGAGGCCTACCTCCTGGAAAAGACTGGCAAGCCGCTGGGAAAGATGTGTTGCTGTTTTTCTTTTCTTCACTGTATAGGAGTGCCTATTAATCTTTTACTGTTCCTGCTGCTCATTGTACTTACTCATGCTCAATGTTCCCTTATTCAAGGCTCTTTCTTAAAAGTGTTGACGACTCCAACATCCGATGAGTGTCCTGAGAATATGACTAACTCACCAGAGTTAAATGCTAACCTGAAAGCCCCTCTTATGGAGGCTATTAGACAAGTCATAAGTAAATATAAAAGTATTGGGGGTTTCATAACGTCACTTCAACAGAAAAAATTGATTGTAAGAGATTTACAAGAAGCTGTAGGCATGGCTAGAGCAGAAAGAGTGTATAGCTATTGGAGACTTCCCTTTAATCCTAAAACATATACAATAGATTCATATAGATATCCTATAGATAAGAAAGATGTAGAGGGATATTTAGACCAAAAGCTAAATAAGATTCCTAAAAGGTTGGTAGATAAAAGGTGGCAATGGCTTATCAGAGGAAAATGGTGGGATCCTCCATTATCTAGAGGACCCCAGAGACTTCCTCCAGATCCATAGCCTGTTACAGGTGTGTATAATAAGGATGGCAATCGCTGGAAAAACTACTTAGGAGAAAGAACTTCCTATTACTCTCTTTCAATTACTGAGAGACTTGCTAGATCTAGGCCTCCTTGGTGCTTACTATTAAAGAAGGAACAAGAAAGATCTTATGAGACAGTTAAGGCCTCTACAGAAAAGAGTAAACGATTATGTGAAAGGGTTACAGAAAAGACACTATGAGCTTAAATTTGATATATGGCCAGATTTAACTAAGTATACTGAATATCATGATTTTGGGCCACAAATTGGGAACCCTCTAAGCACAATTGCTTAGAAAAGATTTAAAACGTATAAAGTACAAAACTAAACAAAAGTAACTATGAAGTACTAGAGTTCATGCCTTTCTGTTCAGCACTTTGCCTATATGCTCTGGTTAATGGTTAATTAGTGATAAACATCGAAACCCATTGTATTTCTTAAAAATAGAGGTAAAGCCTGGAACAAGTGCCTATCGTCATAGCTAGTCATCCAAAAACAAGATTAGGCGACCAGCTGCTGACCACCCAAGAACAAAGCCTTGCAGCAAGATTGTGTAACCTTTTGCCCTTTCTCATGGAGACTTTTGCTATAAAAGCTTGTTATCCTCTGCATTAAATCGCACTCAGCATCCACTCCTCTTGTGTGTGAGTTGTCTGTTTGCCATCTCCCCACCTATTCCAGTTCCTCCACTAGGTGTCCTCCGTCGTCCCGACAGAGCCGGTCCGCGGCAAAAAGTGCATTAGAAAAAGTTGAAATCCAGGGCAATTTGATCTTGATCATTTCATTGTTTCTTTGATTTTCAAAGGTTCCTATTATTCCCTTTCAACACATGAAGAGACTAGGGCTGACCCTCAGCTCTAGCTCTTGAATAAAAACTTAGAAACTTCCCTTTGATCTGTACTATGTAATTACCAGAAGAGCCCTCCTCAGGACTTCTCAAGCAGAGACATGCTCAGCTTCTCCTCTATCTTTCACAGCTGATACCTAATGATTCATCAGCCTGGGTCTCTTGTCTGTTTGGCCAAATCTCAATCTCCCTTTCTGGAATTCTGATCTTGAGCTGCTTGTAAGGAGCTGCTAGACTGTTGGTCATCTGTTCTGTGTGTGTGCCTTACCCTCAGATCACATGCAAAGCATTTTCTTATTTCTCAATGGGCCAAAGAAACACTGACTGATACACACCTGCTGACTGCCACATCAGAGCTTGAGAATTCTACCCGCTCCTATCCCTTCTCATGTCCACGCTAAATGATTGCTACCATCTTTAAAACTTTGACCACAGGCTTCTATTAAGGTTGTTTCTTTTTTTAATGAGTCAGAAGGAAACCATGCAATTAACTAACAGACACAGTACTCAGTAAGAATCTGCACATAAAGAAACTTCATTTTATTTCTTACAATGCACAAAAATGTAGTTTTCCCTTCCAAATATGCAGGCTTAACCCCAGTTGAGTCCAAGTTGACAAAGAGCCTGGACTGAACACAGGTGATATTGATCACCACATCTGAAACATCTCATTCACTCATGATAAGGAGGTACTTCCAGGAGAAGTCAGGGCAAAGACCCCCAAGTTAATATTCATCAGAATATGGATAATTAGGGTGGTCAGCAATCCTAAAACAAGACAGAAAAATACACAATATGTACTCAGTGACATACCTTCTAGAGTAAAAAAGAGAACTAGAGCTGTCATTAGGATGAAAGTTAATCATTTTAATTGTTAGTTGGTTATAGAATCTATTCTTCTTACTAATATGAAATGTTCTTACACAAAATAACGTTTTAAGACATCAGTTACTTTTTCTAGTGCTTTTCCTTTTTCTGGAGTATAACACAGAGCACTGTGCCAAACATTCAGACATATTCCTCCCATTACTATCATCTGTTAACCTACCAAAGCAATACCTCATCTTTTCTAATTTCAAGTCTTCAGTAAAAACATAATCTGATTATTCTTTGCTTAGGAAAAGGCCAATCCCAGATACTGGCCAAAACAAATATATTTTAAAATACAGAGTTTAGGACTAATAATTCCAACCCCATTTTCATGATTCATTACATATTTACTCATCAGAAACAATATACTATGTTTGATACAGAAATGGGAAGATTTTAATTTATAAGGCAGATTTCCATAGCTAAGGAGCTTACTATATAATTTGTAGATCTTTATACTCTAAAAGCAACACCAAGTATTAAATTATATATATATATATATATATATATAATTAATATTACTACTTGAACCACAGCTCTACTTCTAGTTGCTTTTCTGTTTGTTTGTTTGAGGTTAATTGGAGACAATAGTTTCATGGATTTTTCTTCCCAGACTGGCTTCAAACAGCATTCCAGATCTCAGCCCCCTGAGTAGATATGGTTATAGGGGTAAGCCATTGGTGCCTGGATCTAATTTCATTTTCTAAAAACATTATCAGCAGAGGATTAAACTTGATTTTGGACACATTTAAACAAACTACAGTGTCACCATTTATAATGCATATCCATTGGATAGTTGCAGAATATAGTGGATTGTACAAAACTTGCCACAGAAGTGTAGAATCAGCAATGGTATTGGCTGGTTTGGAACATTCCACAGAATGATAAGTGCAGAGGCCTATATATCCAAATCTAAGCAGAACTTAGTTTGACTCACCCTGTTGCTGAATCAGAGAACAGAACTATGGAGAACATCTTAGACTATAATCCTAGAAAACTCATAAATTACCCTAACTGAAATGGACTTGTTCCCCAGGATTAAGTTACTATTTACAACTATGTTATATTCTATCTCAGAAAATAAGTTAAAACAATTTATTTGGCAAAGTTACTCACTGATTAATAGTAACATATCGAAAATTTCTATTCAGGCCATCTAGGGTTTTCATGTCCTCTGACGTCAACTGGAATTCAAAGACCTATCACACAGAAAGTTTTTGTATATTTATACTATGTGTTTGCCAATGTGGAAAATTCAACTGACACAGATTCAAAATGGCAGAGATAATACTTAAAATACCTGAAAAGTTTCCAATGTAAGAGCAAACACAGGAAAAGATAGAATATTAATTGACTTCAAAGGAAAGGCATGAAATATTTGATCACAACCAAGAGAAGAAACTTTAGTTCATAAAACTGTATCATAAAAAGAATCAACATACAAGTAATTTGGGAAAAGGTGCTTCAACAAATGTATCTGCGTCTGAAAAAAAATATTTAGAATACATAATGTGGTAGATTGATTCTAAGAATGTTCCTCAGTAATTTTCATCTCCCAGGCTTTGTTACATGAATATTTGCCTTTTTCTACAGAGGTACTAACTATGAGTTCCCTCAGAGTTAGGAGATTTGCCTAGCCTATAACTTGTATTGGTCACTAAAATGTGTCCAAAACAATGGCATGTCAGTTTTGAACCAAGACATGAAAAGGCATTTCAAGTATGAACTACTGCTCTGGGAAAGTATTAAGTGATGTGGTGAAGGTGGGCCCACAAATCCCAGACAAGAGCCCAACCAATATTCTAGAGAAGCACCGGCGGCTCACTGTTCTGCTAACACATGAGAGGAGTTCCAACATAGACAGGAAAATCTGGAAGGCATTCAGGAGGAGGCAAAAGCAAATTTGCAAACCACAGTATTATGGGAAAAAATTGAATGCTTTTGCTTTGAAGTTCTATTTTAACAGTAGCTGGTTGTGCACCTACTACAAATAATGATATTCTATGTTTCTTCTACTTGAAAATAAAAAGATAATCAGCCTAAAAGTGGACAAGTATATAAATACTGAAATACATACAAGGTCATGTGCATATATATAAACATAATATGGGAGAATTTTAATAGCATAACTCCTTTGAACAACTAACCTCAGGCTAACAAAATGAGTATCAAGAAGCTGGACAGCAAAGTGTCAGGAGAGGTGACATCAAAAGGAGTGGCTAGATAAATAAAAAGAAGAATGGTAGGGAAATGTAGTCAGTGTATATATGGAATCAGGGAAGTAGGAAAACTGCGGAGTTGAGAGAGATGAGGGAGAATAATGAAAGGGGTGACATTGATTGAGAGGTACTGTATTCCTGAATTGACATGTTGAATTGAAACCATGTTGTACAATGACCTAAAGATAAATTAAAAATAAGCTTTTGAGTATTAAATATATAAATACAAAATGTAAATATTAACATGCTATTCACATATTTTATATGGATAGCACAATATAGGGGATATGAAAAGCAAGATCATAATTGTTTTCAGACTGAAAATAATCTAATCCAATCGTCTAATTCAGAAGATGAAAAAAAAGTACATCACCCATGGCTAAAGAGAATGTTACTGAATTAAGTCTGTAGACAAATCTCTTGCTTTTGTGTTATTTCTAACACATTTATAAGATTATTTCTTTGTTGCGTTGTATGTCCCTCCCCCACAGTATAACCCTGCTGTCACTGTATTTGATGTCGGTATAATTTGTGGAGGGGAAGGGGAAAAACAAATCGTTTAACTAGGGATACATGTGGACCCATTGCAACAATGAGATGTACAAGTCGTTATGTCGAAAACGAACTTTACAACTTTCGGGGGGGGGGCAGATTGGGTGGGGGGCTGGGGAAGGATAGGAAGGGATGGGAAGGGGAAACAAAGGAGGAGGCTACAATGCTTGATAAGAAATGTACTCATTATCTTGCCCATGTAATTGTAACTCCTCTGTACAGTATTTTCACAATAAGAAAAAAATCTCTTGCTTTCATCCAATTCTAATTCTGTCTAGCCCAGACAGCCAGGATTGTGGAGGAAGAGAAACTTTTAAGAATGAACATAAAACAAATGCTGGGAGAGAAAGCAGCAGCTCAAAGATACCGGAGCTTGCAAAGAAGCAAACACGTGAAACACAGTATGGAGGAGTCCTTATGTCTAGTACCCGTTCATCACCTGCATGTTTTCTTTGATCCGATTCTCGTTGAAACTCTTGGCAAGGACCACAATCCCACGCTGCAACAGGTAGCGAATGGAAATCAGGGCTGCAGTTCGATTGTACTTTTTTGCCATGGCACCAAGAACTGGATCATCCAAGAGAAATGGAGATTTCTCATCTACCCTAGAACGAAAGTCGGAAATGTTCAGATCCTCAGGTTAAAACACGGATAAGGGCTTCCACTCTCGATGAGAGATTCCCAAAGTGGTTCCCAGACTGGCAACACCAGGGTGATCTATCATCTTCTCAGATAGGCATATCCTTTCCTCTTACTGAGCTAGCTAAGTCAGAAAACTGAGTACTGAAAAAAACTGAAAGCATTTCATCAACAAAGTGCTCTGTCCTCATTAGAATAGATTTCTATAGTCCTCATTACCAAGGTTTGTATCTTTGAGTTCCCAAAACACCATAAGCAACCAGAACAATGTCTTTGGACTTGCAGAAATCCAGCAGTTTGCTTTGATTCAGGTAAGGATGGCACTCTACCTGTAGAGGGACAGCACAGAATAGTGTCAGATTAAAGAAAATCCTCATACTAATATGAAAACATTGCCCAAAGAAGTTGAAATGTTTTTTAATGTTACATTAAATTTAAATGGAAATGTTGTGACATCAAGTAATGATTCTCTTTTTAAAAAAAAATTCTGTTGCTGTGAGGGGTAAATATATATCATTCCATAACCAGGTGTGTGAACTACTAGGCTAGAGAATGATGAGGAAACTGAACTTTGGATATTAAATTGATTCATGTAGCAAGAACCTGTCAACCTCATGACAGCAAGTGAGAAAATCAAAGGAACAAGTTTGGTTGGCATTCTGCAGGTGATATTTAGGTAGATTCCTTTATCAAAGTGAGTCAAATTTCTGGAGTAGTGACAAAAAATGAATTATTATATGTAGAGTACATAAAAATCTACAATTACATAGTAATGAGTATGTAGAGACAAAGAACACACAAATATCCCTTGTTCACTACAAGTCATCAGATCACTAATAGCTTTAAAAGGTTAATAAATCTTATCCTATTTTATAAGAATAATTGGACTTTATTTCTTAATCAAATTTTAGAGTATCATGTAGAACAATAGTGATTTGAAATAAAAAATAATTGCAAGCTTCAAGGAAATAACTAATTTAGGCAAAAAAGTTGAGAAATATGCAAATATTAGGTGAAAACTGGTTCTGAAATATCAATTCTTCTGTACACAATTATCCCTACCATGTAAGTAGCAATGGCAGTGGTTGAAAGTTTGGACTTACTTAAGCATGTGATCAAATCTATATAGTTATAAAGAATGGAACAGACAGCCAGTTTGATAGGTCCCGAATAGGGTTCAATTTGAGATTCACAACATGATAAAGACATTTTCTTACAAGAAAATGTCTTTTTTTTAACGCTAATGACATAAAAAAATCTTATTTAACTTCCAATTTACCCAAACTTGAAATACAGAGAAACATCTACAGGAAAACACAATAATAATCTGATAGATACTGAGTACCTGACAAAGCCTTCTGGCATAACATGGGGAAAAGATCTGACAACAATTCTAGGCTAAAAGAGCATGAGAAATATGACAGTTCATTAGGGTACTGTTTATCCCAGCTACAGAAGAAAAACACAAGGCATCTGGGTGAAAACAAAGAAATGTGAAATGGACTAGAAGTTAAATGAGAGGATAGAGTAATCATTGACATCTTTAGCTTTAATAGTGAGATGGTATCTCTGTAGGATGATATATTCATTCTTGATAGATGTTTACTAGCTCTATAGGATAAATAATAATATCTATAATTTATTTTAAAGACCTTTAAGAAAATATATGTGCACAACCACTCACACATATACACCTATGTAAATTTGGTAGCAGAGCAAATTGTCAGTAATTTAGATTTAAAATATAGATGAGAGAACATGGAGGTCTAATATCATTCAATCCTTCTAAAGGGTTAAAAGTGCTTGTAATAAAAGAGAAAATTAAAATTTAACCACACTAACTTGTCAATATTTAAACTGGAAAATACATGTCATTATGCAACAAATAATGAAATTTTTAAACTAAATTTTCCAATTGAGAACCCTTATTCCACCATTCCCCAAAAAGTAAGTTAGGGCACAGAACTAGGCAAAGAATAGGCATGCTTAAATGCTTCTTTTGTCAGTAGAAAACAGGGATGCAAGACTGACTGAGATGTGGTCAGGCATAAGTCAGCTCCATGTTTGCTGATTCTTCTGAATGCAGTTTTTATCCCTCATTACCATTACCACAAACAGTTACTTCCTCCTTCTAACCTCAATGACTTTCCAAGGATCCTACGACACAGATGCCAGGATACAGGATTAGGTCATCTGATACCCACACAAAGCTCTTACGCTAACTTCTACCTTGTCTTCTGTCTATTCTGCTCTCCTATCCACTCCGTTTCCCAGGACATCCTTCCTGTACACAGTTCCTTCCACACTACCTTCAGCCTTCCTGTTTCTGGTTATTCTTCAGGAGTGAGGGTACCTCCCTCCTGAGATCTAATCAGGGAGTGTTGCTCTCCTTATCACTTTCGATTCTCTATATTCTAAACATAGTGCAATACGATGGTCTCCTAACCATTTCTCCAAGATTTTACCAAACAGCAATACAATTATCATCGTAGTATCTGTTTCACGAGGTTTAGATGAATAAGAGATTAGGACACAGAGACACCTGAAAGTAGTACAGGGAAAGGGAGATGAAGAACAAAAGGAGATGGGACTGAGGGAGTTCACCTGGTTGCACACAGGCTTATACTTGAGCCCTGGCTTGTTCAGGATCTTCTCCAGTTGTCTTCGGTTGAAGTTGGACACCCCTATAGACTTGGTCAATCCTGCATCCTTGCACTTCTCCAGGGCCTGGAGAGGTAAATAGTTGTGAGAAATTATTTAGTCAATGAACTTCAAATCAATATAAACATAAAGTACAATTGTTAATAAGAATGTGGCCAAAAAGTGAAAATAAAGCTGACTATAATTGATCATTAAGGAGAAAAGCTAATCGGGAAGTAGGAGGAAATCATGATGACAGGGAAGAAAATAATTCCTTTGCTCTCCTTAGGAAATCGGAGGGATTATTTCATATAGAGGGAAAAAAATAAGACTCATCATTTACCCTGATTCTTCTCAAATTCTCTACAATATATCCCAATAGTTCATTCTTCTCCCCCCGCCACCATACCTGCAAATGAACTTTTGTAAAGATCATGAATTTATTTGTCAAAGGGTTCATATATCTCACTCCCACCTGTGGACCAGTAGTCTGACTCCCCTCTCTGAATCTCCTCTGTGAATTAATTACAATTACTCACCTCCCAAGTATCACAGAGATCCACCTCATCCAATACAAACTTTCCATTTTCTTCTACTGGAGCAAAATTTTCACCTGGCTACAAAAGAAACAGTCATGAAATCATCTCATCAAATTCACCTTTTCCCCTCAATGGTTATGAATGCTTCTAGGTAAATCTAGAGCTGAGCATTAAATGCCCAGAACATACTTGTATTTGCAAAATGTTTTGTATGGGAGGTCCAAAGGAATGTTTCTAATAGGTGTTCCAGGAAACCTCTTGGAGATGATAGTTTTTCAGGAGAAAGTAACAGGAAGTAGAGGGGGTGAAACTGATTGGGAGGCAGTGTACACATGTGTGGAGGTGTGACAATGAAATTCTCCTCCATGTATAACTCATGTAAGCCAATTTTTAAGGTAATTTTAAGCAACTTTTTAAAAAATGGAATAAATGTTCCAATCAATGTTCATCTCCCTGAAAACATACAGGGTCAGAAGACAGGCATGTGAATTAAATGTGAATTAATTAATTAAATGTGAATTAAATGGCCCATCAAGGTCTTTTTATTATTTTAGTGATAAGAGTAAAAACAGAAAGAGAAGGAACAAAGGAATGATAAAAGGAATAATGAAAATAATGAAGGAAGAAATAATGAAAGGAAGATGGAAGAAAGGAAGGAAAGAAGGAAGGACTAAACAATTCAATAGATTGGATTGAGTATAGAAGATTAATCATGGTTCTTTTTTAGATTAATTTTGATGCTTAATGATATAGATAAATCATTCATCTTTGAGCACCTTGAACCTTGAACTACCACAAAGCATGTTTTCCACCAACAGAAAGCAATGGAGGGAAAAAAAGCAAATGTAGAAATGTAAAGTTAAGGCACTGATAGGCACAGACAACTTGGTATGAACCTCATTTACATAAACCAATAAGATTTTTGCGAAAACCACTTTGAGTCATTCCCAAAACTAAGTTTATATGAAGGTGTGGCAGTCTACATGAATTGTTCATGAAATTAATGGTGATGCTTCAGTTGAACTTAAGGCTTGATGAAGGAAATTGCCTACCTTCATTGGTACTGGGAAGTGAATAATATAGAGATCAACATAGTCCAGTTGAAGTTTCTTTAGTGACTCTTCCAAGCAAGGTCGAACCATCTCCGGTTTTAAGCAAGTGCTGGGGAGCTGCAAAGGTTGAAGAGTACAATTGTGTGATGTAGACCAGCCAAATGTATGTTTCCCTTCACATACTTTAGTTGAAACATTTTCAACTGTTTCGAATTGTTTTCAAGTGGGAGGGCTGCAGTTAATTAAATTGTTTTCAAGTGGGAGGGCTGCAGTTAATTAATCAACAAAAAGCTGAAAATGAAGGTGAGGCTCAAGTGTTTGAACACCAGACTTGAGAGAAAAAACCAAGACAGAATACAAGATCCTGAGTTCAAGCCCACCCCCTCCTCTCCTCCCAAAAAGAAAAGGGGCTTTGCATTAAGACTTACAAATTTAAATTATACCAATGTTCGATCATCTTCTTATTTTTAATACTGGATGTTCTAAGTGAACATAGTGAGGAAAAGATGAAATAACAAGTACAATTGATCAATACTGATCCCATCCAACAACCTTTTAACACCTCACATTTCATTAATGAACACACCACACGCACAATACCTTCGAAGTATAGAATATGTCCTCCCTCTTCACAGTGCCATCTGCAATCTTGCTTCGAATGGCCAGTCCTACCTCCTCTTCATTTCTGTACATATAAGCAGCATCAATATGGCGGAACCCAGCATCGATGGCTAATTTGGTGGCCTCTGTAGCCTGGCTCTTAGGAACCTACAGAAAGAGCCAAAATCAGTGCTTAGAAAACATCTGGTTGAGTTCACTGAGGAACAACCAGTGGCTTTCACAAAAAGCAAGTCTTTCTCATGCCTTTGGTTAGTTCCACATTTTGGGTGCTGAATATATTCAAGGTTGCCTCTGTTTTTCCTAGTAAGTATCCCTCTTCAATCTCAAGCACTCAATCATTGGCCACTGGCATCCAAGGCTCTTTCAGAAGGAGTCCAAGGTCAGTCTGAGGTCAGACTCACAGAACTAAGCATATAATGATGATGGTGATGTAATGCTACAAAGTAAAATTAACCAAGGAAAATGTGCATGGAATGCAATATACAGGAAATAGGGTCCACACTTGTCTGAGTCTTCCCCCAGTGATGTAAAGAACACACCAATTACCCATGGATTATGTTTAGAGAATATATGGACACATTTACCAGGAAAGCTGTTTAGAGGCTAAATTCTAATCTTGCATCTAGGAGGAATGATTACAAAGATTCCCCTATATTAGCACACTCCAAAATTCAATTCTCCTGAAGAAAGCAGGTGTAAATAAATACCATAAAAAGCCCCATCTTTACTTGTTATGAAAATGTAAAGTTCCTAGAGCACAGTTTGAAAGCTGGGACTTTAACTGTTCTCTTTAATTCTTATCTCCAACCCCTTCCACATGCATGACATACACAAATTAGACACATTTGTGTAGAAGGAATTACCTATAATATATGCAGAAGTACCTAATTAGGTGTCAGCCCTTAAATCAAAGTACCTTATTTCAGGGAAATTAGAATTAGAGCAAAATTTGAAACTATTGATTTCTCTACCAAATGTGAATAAACGCATGAACTTCTACTTCTTTTTCTCCACAGAAATGACAATAAATAAGATTCTGACTCTTACAGCCCTGTCTTGTTATGAGTTCTGACCTTCTTAGTTGTAATGGCACTAACCAAGATTATAGCTTTCATGAGGTCCTTGATCCTTTTCTGCCCTTCAGGTCACTTTGCCTTACTTCACTGTTGTATATTTTAAATTAATTCCCCATGTACCACTCAGGTACTATAATGTTCAAGTGGGCTCACCAAAGTTGAACTGCATCGTACTGAAGGACCTATCTGTATAACTTGATTTCCTACCTTAGCTATTGTTACTAGTGTTGTAATAAACTCTAGAGTGTAGAGATAGCTTTGTTATGCTGACTACATATCCTTTAGACACATATCCACAAATGATATAGCTACATCAAGTTATAGTTGATATTTTTCACTTTTTGAGTCACTTCCACACTGTTTAACATAAAAGGCTATTTATTAAAATTCCCACTTCTGGCTCTTTGCTGGTTAATTGGAGATAACAGTCTCATGGGCAGAAAGTCCATACTAGCCATGCTCTCCAGGCTGGCTTCAGACCACAATCTTCTTAACCTCCTGAGTAGCAGGAATTATAGGCATGAGCCATCAGTGCCTGGCTCAATTGTTATTTTAACTGGAAGTAAAATACCAACTCATTGAAGTGCTGATACATAAGACATAATATAGAGCCATAATCAACAAATTAGCATTTTACAGATTTAAAAACAAAAGACATACACACAGACCACTAGAATATCATAGATTTCCCAGAATGAACACACAAATCTACAGTTACTTGATTCTCAAGAAAGTGGTCAAAGAATTACACTGGATGCCCATGTAATTGTAACCCCTCTGTACAGTATTTTCACAATAAAAATAAAAATAAAAAAAGAAGAATTACACTGGAGAAAATGCAACTTCTTTAACAAATCATTATGGGAAAATGGTTCTCATACACCTATGAGAAATGTCCCTATATCCTAATAAGGTACCAAGTGGCAGTGAAGACAAGGAAACAGTGTCCAGAAGAATCAGTAGGTGATCACATAAGCAAATTCTGATACACAGTGCAGCCTTTCTCCTTCCTGTACAAAGGGTTTCTCTAACACGGGGCAGCAGAACCGCATCAGCACTTCAGAGACACACGGGCACTACAAGACTTGACAAACCCTTTAGTTCTTAAGCACTCTTGTTGATTTTCATTTGAACTCCCAGACCAAATTCCCCAGTAATTACCTCATTGGGTGCATAGGTGCCGAAGCCCAGTACAGGAATGAAGTGACCGTCATTTAATTCCATACATTCATACTTAGAATTCATTGTGGATTTCTGTTTCTTCTTCCACCTTCACAGAAAAAAAAATGGAAGTCATACACCCAACTCTCAATCTAGTGGCTAGTCAATGAAACTCCTGGCTAATTATGAACTCATTGCTTGAGAGTGAAGAGATTAAAACAGTTCTGAACACGTTCAAAGAAAACTGCAAAGTCACTATACAATAAAAAAAACATACCACACCCATCTTAATTACTGAACTATCATCATAGCCAAGTTATGAAAACAACCAGAGTCTCTGCAATAGAAAAATGGATCAAGAAATCGTGTGTGTGTGTGTGTGTGTGTGTGTGTGTGTGTGTGTGTGTGTAAGAAAATTTTATATTTTATTCATCTGTCAGAAAGATGTTATTTGCAGGGAAATAGGCTTGGATTGGAAAAAAATTATGTTAAATGAGTCAGGCTTACACAAAAGGCATATGTTTTCTTTCATATGGGGAAGATAAATCTGATAATAAATATGTTAAAGCACATACATGGTCATATGTACTTATGTACAACCAGACTGACTAAAGGTATGGATTCCCATGGAGTAATTCCTTTGAGTAATTAACTGAATTAACAAAATGAATACCAAGGAGCTGGAGTATGTGTTGTGTGAGAAAGATAGGTGGAGGGGGTAAATGGAAGAATTGTGGGTAAATACAATTATACTCAATGTATATATGTGAAAAAATGAATCAAGGAAACTTGAGAGTATGAGTAGGATTGGGATAGACTCAGAAAGAAGGATGGGAGGAATGGCATTGATCAAGATGCATTGTATTCACAAATAGACACATTGAATGGAAACCCCTTTGCCCAACTGAAGATAATTTTTTTTAATTTAATAATAAAAACAAACTACAACTAGCCCACTTATTTCAGATGAAGAAAAATTATTAAGTGAATCACCATATAGTGATTAAGTTTTTGTTTGGGGTCACTTTTCTCATTAGAGGCCCATAAGCTGTCGCAATTTGTTAGATATATATCGAACAACATTAGCAACTTGTTACACTGAAAACTCTCAAGTGTCTATTCTCCTGCTTTAATTAGTTATTTATTTATTTCTGCTTCCTTTCCTTCCTTCTTTCCTTCCTTCCTCCTTTCCTTCCTTTCTTTCCTTATGGACTGTAGGTTGAATCCAGGGCCTTGTGCTTACTAGGCCAACGCTCTCCCAGTTGAAGCATGCCTCAGTGCTTTCTTTCTATTTTGCTCTGTCTGGCTAACTTTGCCTCTGATGCTCCTGTTATCACACATTATTGGAAACAATGAACTAACATACATCATACACACAAAGAATTAAAGAAATGGCTGTTGAGCGTTTCTCAAATGATTCTCCAGAAAAAAAAAAAAATCAAAAGATTAAACTGAGTGAAAATGTGATCTAGACAGTTTTGTACATAAATACATAAAAAAGGACAGACCAAAGAGTAGGTATATGTGAGAAATACTTGTCACTTTGGAAGCCATGAAGTTAAATGATTAGAATTAGAATTGGATGATTGAGTTAGTGCAACCATGGAAGAAATCACACACTAGGGACTTTATGATTAAATAGTTCACGGAGGAGAGTAATCAATAAAAAGGAGGCTAAGATCTGAAGATTGAAGTTCAAAGCCAGCCCAGACAGGAAAATACCTGAGACTCTTAACACCTTATTAGTCACCAAAAAGCCAGGAGTGGAACTGTGGCTCAAGTTGTAAGTTACTAGCATTGAACAAAAACTCTCAGGGACAGCACCCCAGGCCCTGAGTTCTAGCTCCAATACTGGCAGTCCTGTTGGTTTGTACTTATGTGAACCACACAGGTCAAAAGAGTCTACAACCAGAACAGTTATGCTTTTATTTTGGTGGATTTCTTTTTGTAAAGCTGAGGTCCCACCAGAGATTCTTTGATCTGCAGTAAAATGAAGATATTACTAGGCTTAAAGATCTTGCCAGGCTAGTCTGACAATTTTCTTCAGGGAATGAGTGAAAATGGAAGCATTTACTTGGGGCATGAGTGTATATGACACGTGTCTAAGGTCCAGTCTTCCCCCTCCCTTTTTTATTCCTGCCTTCTTAGTTTCTCTCTTCTCCCTTTCTTCTTGTCCTCTTTTCCCCCTCCAGTAGGATTCAGAATTTCTGAGGCCTCCTGAAATTAATATACTTTTCAGTGTAAAGCCAAGTCTGCTTTGCTAGTCTGAGGACTTCACAACAAGCCAAACCTGGGCACAAAGGTCTACACATTCGACTTTGCCTTCAATTAAAAAATTCTAACACAGCATTTATGAGTGTAACAACTATATATAATTACTGTATACTACCCTCATATCAAGTTGGTTCAGCCATGAACACAGACTAAAGAGCAAACACAGATGGCAGAACTTTGTGAAGTCTATTAACCCACACTGGCCAGGCAATATCCTCTACTTTATCACACAACCTCCAGTAAACTTAGAAGGCTCTCTCTTTCATTACTCTAATTCATACACTGATTATGTGTCCTATCTGAATTTCTGTCACATATTAAGAGAGGACTTTCTACCCGATCTGGCTAGATTGCTACTCTAGCCTGATCTTTTTTTTTTTTTTTTTATCTTTTAGGACAGGATGGCTGGAAGTCCAAGGACTCTTTTAAGCCAGCCCAAACCAGTTTGACCTCAGATAGCTGTCAGAGGGACTGGTCATTTCTATCCTCATTAAAATCCCATCTATTAAGTGTTAAGGGACACACACCCCAGTGTCCAGACAATTACAAATTGGGATGATGACAACCAGAAAGAACCATACAAACAGCAAAAGTGATGGCACCACAATTCCTGGACGATCTTCATGCCATCCCAAAGGCCAGGAACACTCTGCCCTTTCCTTAGTCTATCCTCTCCTCTCATTTCACTTACCCTGTATCTACAGCTTCCCTCTCTGGAAGTCAGGAAGAATACTGTAAACCTTTCTTGTTCTTTCTTTCTTTCTTTTCTTTCTTTCTTTCTCTTTCTTTCTTTTTCCTATCCTGGGGCTTGAACTCAAGGCCTGGGCACCATCCCTGAAACTTTTTTGTGCTCAAGGCTAGTGCACTACTACTTTAGCCACAGTGCTTTTTCTGAGTAGTTTATTGGAGATCAGTCTCATGGAATTTCCTTGCCAGGCTTGCTTTGAACTGCAATTCTCAGATCTCAGCCTCCTGAGTAGCTGGGATTACAGGCTTAAGCCACTGGTGCCTGGCTTTTGACTCAATTTCTGTTTTTTTGTTGTTTTTTTTTGGGTCCAGTCGTAGGCCTGAACGCTGGAACTGGGCACTGTCCCTCAGCTCAGTTCAAGGCTAGCGCTCTACCACTTGAGCCACAACGCCACTTCCAGCTTTTTTCTTTTTGCTTATGTGGTGCTGAGGAATCGAACCCAGGGCCTTAAGCATGCAACATGTGCTCTACCACTGAGCCACCTTCCCAGCCCTTTTGACTCCATTTCTAATGGGGCTCAATCTTGCTTTTTGGTTCTGTGATTTTGAAAGGACTATGTCATCTCATCTATTGAGGGGCCAAGATTGGCATGTGCTCCACTGGTGGTCGTCAGAGGAAATGCTATGAACTGGACAAGTTGAGTGAGGGAGCTCTGAGGCTGAGATCTGCTGGGCACACCCTCAAACCACCAGTGTAACCCAGAAACCAGGAAGGAGTGGCCACCTGTGCTCCACCTCCACCTCCACCTCCACCTCCACCTGTCTGTTTCTTATATAGGCAGAATTATTGCCTCATGTTTGTGGTCTGCCATGAGATATCTTTCTTTACCACAAATTACTGGATCTCACGACGTTCCACCCTCTGTTAAACCCACTGTTTAATCTTGAACTGTGCTTCACCATGGCAGTCAGTTCTATCAGCGCCTGAATGTCAGTCAGAAAGTTCATGGTGAAATTTTACAAATTGAGGGCAGACTACAGTGTTTGGCTTCTGTCCTGGGTCCCGGCTTGTTGGAGAGACTTCAGATTAGCCTTGGACAGTCTCCTCCCCAAATATTTATGCACTTTAATCTCTTCCAGATGAAAGTCCACACAATGCCCTCGTTATCTCAGAATAGCCCAAGGACAACTCCGGCTTTCTTGGCCCCTGAATCTCCACATGAGCCCAGAAACGAGAACCTCTGCTCTCCCCATAAACACCTCAATTGGTGAACCGCTGGAAGGGAGTACCTGTGTTGACTCCTTCCACACTGCACACAGAGAACCAAACATCACATGATCTCCTATAAGCAGACACCATTATTTTCCACTTTAAAAATGTCAAGGAAAATTAACTAATCTCAGGGCCATATTCGATCTTTGCTATTCAGAAAGTAAACGGGGCGCCTGAGCTTCCAGCGGGGCGGGCGGGGTGGGGGTGGGGGCTGCAAGGCAGGAGTGGGTCCTGAGTCCCGGGGAGGCTCCCCCCCGCCACCGCCGCGAGGCCCAGCCCGGTGCGCATGCCCACCCTGCCTGCCCGATCACAGCCCCAGGCCTCAGTTTCTCCCTTCCTTTGGACATTGGCCACAGAATACGAACCCCTGCGGGGCGGAGGCCTGTTGGCCCGGCTCCTCCTGGGGCTCCTCCGGGTGTCCGGCCCCGGGATCTCTCCTAACCGGCCGCGACGGGAGCCGGGAGGGGACGCGCTGGGCTGCGGCTACCTGAGCCTGCGGCGGCGGGAAGCACCGCGGAGGGGGCGCCTAGGCCAGGGTAGGGCCGGGACCTGGGGCAGGGCCGGCCGGGGCCGGGGCGAGGCCGGGCCGCGGGGTTGGGGGGTGAGGGGGCAGGGCCGAGGCAGGGCCGGAAGCCCAGGCCGGCGCGGGGCGCAAGTGGCTTCTGGGCCGGGGAGGCGGAGCGCGGCCGTCCGGCCTGGCCGGAACGAGGGCGCCGAGGCCGGTGGTGCGGCGGGGCCTGGCCGGGCCAGGTCAGGCGGGGCCGGGGACTGTCGCTTGGCCCAGACCGGCCGCCCCGGGCAGCTGCAGCGGACCAGGCCCCGCCGTGCTCGGCTTCCCAGGGCCTGCCCTCCACCCAGGCCCACCGCAACTCCAACCCGGCCCCCCGATGGGATGCACCTCATTTGGGACCTGGGGCGGGGGGCGGGGGGCGGGGAGGGGGGCCCGAGGTGCGGGGGGGGGGGGTCGGGACAGCTGTGAAAATACAGATTATTTTGCGGAATCTTCAATGTGATTTCCAAGTCCAAGGCTCTCCTGAAGCTCAAGGATGCCTATTTGTAATCCCTCCCCTTCCGTCCTGCTCCTTGACCTTCCCGAAGCTAGTCAAGGTCATCTGAAAACTGGACGCCCTGTTTCAAAGCTCCCAGGCCCAGGAGACAGTGGCAGCCTCTTCAAGAGTCTGGCCTGGGACTGGGCCTCCCAGACTCCCGTCCTCCGTGCTTACCCCAAGTCATTCATTTCCCAGCGCAAAGAAACTGCCCAAGCCCTCCCAGCTAACAGGGCAGAGCAAGGGATGGGGCCCGGGCAGCCCCGTGAGAGCAAACTTCTAATACCTTTAGGTGTGCGTGTCCTTGTGATCCCAGAGCTTACTGCACCTGTGATGGAAGAGGTCATGCAGGCCCAGGACAGCCTGTCCTCAGGGGTGGAGCATGGCCACAGCTGATCATTGGCAAAAGTAGCAGGAACAAACATCATCCCCCCCGCCCCCCAATCAATAAACATCCTTTGAGCTCAGGTCTGCCTGCCACCATCTCATGCAGTCAAGCTCCAAATGCACAGCGTAAATTTTAAAGGCAACTCTCATAGATGAAGTTTTAAGTGGGACAGGCTGATGGAACCCTGTAATCTTTGATATGTTCAAGTGTTATCCAGTCTTTCCCCAGCGAGTTGAGCTGAAAGAAAGATGGGGGAAAAAAGACCACTGGGAGAAAATGTTGGCTTTCTGATCTTGGTTGCAAAGATCAAGAGGGCAATGCCTTAGCTGTGAACTCAAGACCACCAAGGAAAGTGGACTTGGTCCCTACACAGCAAGGGGGAGGCATGAAAAACGCTGGCTGATAAATGTTCTCTAACATCAGTTCCAGGAAACCACGCAGACATCCAGGTACAAAGATCAAAGAAAAGGTTTATTGTCAACAAAGAGATGGGCAAGATCCCTTCCCACAAAAGAGAAGTGCCAACTATTGTCTGAGGTGACCTATATAACCTAGGAGATCTAGGATGGCTAGAAGGGCCTAAGAGGCAGAGACCTCAATGTGGATGTGAGGAGCATTATGGATTCACTAGATTTATGGCTGCTGCCCAAATAGATAAGAGGCTGCAGCTGCCCAGACCTGAAGGTCACTCTAATGGGATCTGGCTGCCTTACATGGTGGTAGCTGCCCCAGAGAAATGCCATCCCAAGGTTAAGCGGGGTTGGAGGCTGATTATATACTTCCTTTACTACATAAGCCTAGTATTGCCTAGGAAGGGAGCATGCTAAGCCATGGGAAGGGAGCTCATTGGACTAACAAGTTCCTACTCCTGCCTTAGATCTACAAAGTAACTATTTTTCACCTCCACTCTCTGCCCATTACTTCTAGGCAAAACTAGTTTTTGGGGTCTAAGGAATCAGAAGGAAACAAAACATTCAAATAATGGAGGCAGTACTACATAAGATTCTTTAGGGATTTTTAAAAAAACATTTTATTTTTCAGAATGTGACAAGAATTTAGTGTCTTCCCTTCCAGACCTCCAGCTGAGTGTGAGGAGACAGATTTCATGGGCTAACAAGCACTAGTACATCCACTGGCTGTATCTCGAGCGTCACCATGTGTAAGAGGGGCTTCTGAAATCTCCACAAAGGTCTTCACATTAATATTCATCATGAAAAGGAAAATCTGGATGATCAGCCAAACTAAAATTGAAACAATGCATATTGTGAGCTTGATGATTCCATTTATAAGGTGATAAAATGAGTTCTTTATTTATTATGTCATTTCTTTCTACTATGAATTTTAATTCACACAAATAGATGGAATGGATTCTCTTGTATACACTCCTTTGTAATGTACATCCTTTCTTGGTTGCTATGACTTCAGAGTTACAGGAGGAAGAGTGAGGACTGTTGTCTGTAAATTCTTTCCCTCAATAGAAGCTGGACTCCAAGCTCTGTCCTCTGTGTTTTTATCTGTTCTCTGTGTTGAGCTCTCCATATTTCAGAAGCTGAAATGAGCCCTTCCTATTGATCATGCTAAGATCAGCTGTTTCCTAGACAAACGTAGCACAAACAGTTCCATGGAGAATACATGATGCTTTCTAATTTGAATCACAAGGATAATGGAGATATCCTCATTCTGATAATTGAGAGACAAGAAGAATATGGCATAAGCTTCCTTTTAGACACACTTAGTTAAGCTCTGTTAGGAATAGGCAAACATGTATAGAATGAAGATACCTCCTCAGAAGTGTAGTTTCAGCATGGATATTGGGTGATCTAGAAAGTTCCATGGAATGAAAAGTGAAAAAGGGCATGTGAGAAAGTCCTAGCTTTCTCTGCTTCCACTCACAGAACAGAGTTTCTGGATAAAGTCTGGGAAGAAAAATCCCAAAAGTTCCTGTCTTATCCCTAGCCCAAACTGTCCTCTGTCTTCCACATATTGAGACAACTTATAACACATATGTTGTATTCTTTCTCAATATGAGTTGAGGCAACATATTTAACAAGATTACTTACAAAGAGGCAGTATTGTATCGGAAATTTCTGTTGAGACCATCTATAACTTTCATATCCTCTGATGTCAACTGGAAATCAAACACCTGTTGCAGAAACAGAATTTTTTATTATTTTCATACTATATGTTGGCAATCTGAGGAATCCCAAGTAGTGCAGAGGCAAAATATGAGAGATAAAAAGGTTCCAAAGGTTTGTGAAGATACCAAGAAAAGCACTCACATTGTTAACAACAACAAAAATACCCTGTAAAAAAAGTAAGAGAAATCCAGTATAATGAAACTGCATTATACTACAGAAAAAGGAGCTCTCCAACTAGAGAAGATGCAGGGCTGAAATTATTCAAATATGGGCATAGTGAACTTTAATGACTGTGAGTGTGATATTTATATATCCTGGCAGAATTACATATGTAATTGACAAAATTGCACATAGAATTGCCCCCCCCCCAAAACACTTCCAACTAAATTAGAAGAAAACACCATAACACTTGTGCACAGTCAAAGAGTAAACTAGTATAACTAGTGTATGCTTCCAAGACATGATTTGTGAAGTACTCATAAAGAAAGGTATGAAGAATTTCATTACACTTAGTTGAAATTTGTTCATACAAGCCTACCCTAACCAGATGTGAGCCTTTTTAAAAATTTGTGTTGAGAATAGACAACTATAGTTGACTAGATAAAATATATTCCCCAATATTTCACAATTGCCTATATCCATTATCCATATCCTCTCTTTTTGAACTGGGGCTTGAACTTGGGGTTTGGATGCTGTCCTTGAGCTCCTTTTGCTCGAGGCTAGCGCTCTACCACTTTGAGCCATAACACTACTTCTGGTTCTCTGGTGGTTAATTGGTGATGAGAGTCTCACTGATTTTCCTGCCCAGGCTAGCTTTGAACAACAATTCTCAGATCTCAGACTCCTGAATGGCCAGGATTACAGGCATGAGCCACCAGCACATGACCCCTTATTCTTTTAAGTAGTGGTCTCTATTATCCCCAAACTCTAGTCTGGCCTATAACTTGCATTTTTCTCAAATATAATTTGTCAGAATCAATGCTGTACAAATCTGGAGCTTAAATAGAGGAAGATTATGTAAGTCCATGTAGTGGGAATAAGCCATGAAATGAGATGAAGCCTGGACTAGTTGGCTGAAGAATAGACGGACAGAGACACAGACAGACAGACTGATAGATATAGATGGAGATGGAGATATAGATACATGGAAGAGACCTCATTTGGTCTTCCACTGGTTGTTCTACTATTGGCATTATCCAGTTAGCAACCTGAAACTGATGGCTTCATTTTCTTGCAGATTCATGAGAGCGTGGACTGCAGATAAGTGCGAGTCCACGCCAGAATAAAAGAAATATTCAAATAAATGCATATACTCATTGTTACTCATAACTTTCATGAGTAACAGAATGGAGATGGTAGGGTTTAAACTCAGGCCTCACATTTACCCAGCTTACTTTCTGAGCAGCACTCTACCACTTGAGCCACTCCTCTAGCCCTGATTTTACCACTTATTTTGGAGTTGGAGTCTCATGGATGTTTCTGCATAGACAGGCTTCAAACTATAAAAAAAAGAAAAGAAAAGAAAGAGGAGAAAGAGGAGGAGAAGGAAGAGGAGGAAAAGGAGGAGGAGGAAGGAAGGGAAGGAAGGAAGGAAGGAAGGAAGGAAGGAAGGAAGGAAGGAAGGAAGGAAGGAAGGAAGGGGAAAGAGAAGAAAAAGAGTGAAATGAAGAGAGGGAAGAGGAGGAGAATGAGAAGAAAGAAATAGAAGAGAAAAAGGAGAGGGAGAAAGGGAAGGGGAAGGGGAAGAATAAATGGTTTTCGTAATGTGATTCTCTAATATGGACACCAATTTGCATCCTTGTCTAAACTGGAGATGGAAAGAGAGTACGTGTCACAATTCTCCAGCTCTTGAGCCTGTACAAAATGTCTCCTTGTTGTTGCAGATATCCAATAAAAATTAAAATGAAAAAAAACTATAATCCTCCAGGTCTCAGCCTCCTGAGTGGCTAGGATTACAGGTGTGAGCCACCAGCAACTGACTCACAAATAATTTTTCAGTTAAACCACTATGTTACTGCCTTAAGCAAGCAAGCGGTAGGTGTGGTTTTCTAGATAGCTACCTAAAATGGTTTAATAATTGTCTCATATTTAACAATAAGACAGTTGAACCTGTATAATTGGGCATAGACTTGAATGAGTACATGAAAGTAAGTTTATGAATATGAAATAATAAGTGTATTCGGGGAAATTAAAAATAAAACTATAAAATCCAATTCTCCAATTTCATAAAAAAAAAATAAATTGTTAGTTGCATAGGGTTACAGAGAATATTGCTGAATTATGCTCACATCAAAATCTCTATTTTCTGTCCTGTCCTGATTCTATCCAACCCTGTTGTCTTTCCTGTCACTCTGGTAGAAAGAAAGCACGGTTAAAAAAAAGAAAACGACCTTGTACCACACATGTGTCAGCAGTAACAAAGCAGTCAGTTCAGCACACGTGTCCTGAGATCTCACAATGAAGCACAAATGTTCCAGTTATTACACAGAATCCATGATGCCTGCCCATTCCTCATCACCTGCATGTTCTCTCTGATTCGCTTTTCGTTGAAACTCTTGGCTAGGGCCACAATCCCACGTTGTAGCTGGTAGCGAAGAGCAACCAGTGCTGGAGTTCGCTTGTGCTTTTTTGCAATGGCACCAAGAACTGGATCATCCAAGAGAAATGGGGCGCTCTCATCCACCCTGGAAGGAGAGACACGAGTGCTGGATTCCAGAAGTAGTGTATGCCTATGGTTCAAAGGACTTGCCAAAACAGACTATGGAGTCCATGCTAGACCCTCAGCTGTTCTCCCCAGACCAGACATGTAAATTCTCCTCTCTCCCTAACCAAGTTCAGAAACCTTGAGTATTGCAGGACTGAAAATGCTCCATGAACAAGGGCAGGTTCTATGAACTCCCTATTGTCTTTATTACCATCGTGAATCTCGAGATGTTCCCAGGCAGCAATAGGCAACCAGAGCAATGTCTTTTGACTTGCAGAAATCCAGCATTTTGCTCTGGTTAAGGTAAGGATGGCATTCTACCTGGAGATGGACAAGACAAAAAGTTATCTGATTATATGAAGTCTTCCTATTAATATGAAAGGCAAATGTCAAAATCCAATACATTAAATTAAAAGAAACTGTGCTGTGAAATTTAAAGTGAAATCTTAAAGTAGTCATCTATTTTTATATGTGTGTGCTGGTCTTAGACCCATGGCAGCAGTGTGGAAAGAAAGGAAGGAAGGAAGAACATAAGGAGATGAGGTGAAGGGTACTCACCTGGTTGCAGACAGGCTTGTACTTGAGCCCTGGTTTGTTCAGGATCCTCTCCAGCTGCCTGCGGTTAAAGTTGGACACCCCGATGGACTTGGCCAACCCCGCGTCCTTACACTTCTCCATGGCCTGCAGAAAGAAAATCGAAGAATTGCTTGTACAGCTATCTTCAAATCAATGTATATTCCAAGAAGTGCTCAAAGGAAGCAATTGATGTAGATTATCTAAAAGAGGAGAAATTGTCAAGAAAATAATCGAAGGAGATAGTGACTATAAGAAAGAATTCTTGGTGTTCTATTTAGAAAGCAGGAGAGTCTCCAGTAATGAGTTCTTTCTACCACTCCACCAAAACACCCCTTGAGGGGTACAATTTTCTAGATCCAGCTCTGAAAAAAAATCCCATGCTCATAGGTGAAATCAGAGCCAAATTCCTTTCCCAAAGCTCTCCAAGGACTCACCTCCCATGTGTCACAGAGATCCACAGTTTCAAATAATAGTTTTCCATTTTCATCACGTGGCACAATTTGGTCTCCAGGCTGGAACAGAGGTGTTTGTTTTAGAGATTTCATCAAACATATTGCTACGATTAGTCACATGGCCAAGTAATTTCAGACTGGGCCATTAAACACTCCTGGAATAGGTAAATAACTCCTAGATATTTATATTTGCAGAATGTTTTCTATTTGAAATAGTAGAAATAGCCTTCATAGATAAGATTTACTCTTTTATATGTTTAATATTGGTTTCCAATGACATGATTTTCCAACGACATGATTTTCCAACGACATCTAATTTAACTTATGTTACTTTTGTCAGTCCCTATATTTTCCTGGGGGGAGGGGG